GCGTGATCTCGGCTCACTGCAACCTCCACCTCCCAGGTTCAAGCACTTTTCCTGCCTCAACCTCCTGAGTAGCTGGAATTACAGGCGCCTGCCACTATGCCTGGCTAATTTTTTTTTTTTTAGTAGAGACGGGGTTTCACCATATTGGCCAGGCTGGTCTCAAACTTCTGACCTCAGGTGATCCCCCCGCCTCGGCCTCCAAAAGTGCTGGGATTACAGGTGTGAACCACCGTGCCCGGCCTCATACTTTTTCTTGATAAACACTTAGAGAGGAAGAAACAAATAATAATACCCCAACCTAGAGACAAAGAACCAACCAATTATTCAAATACTTACTGAGTACATGCTAGGTGCCATTTGATTCTTTAAAAAAATATTAGTACAAAAATTAGCCGGGCGTGGTGGCAGGCGCCTGTAATCCCAGATACTCTGGAGGCTGAGGCAGGAGAATCCCTTGAACCCAGGAGGCAAAGGTTGCAGTGAGCTGAGATCGCACCACTGCACTCCATCCTAGGTGACACAGAGAGACACTGCTGGGAAGGGGAGGGGACATCGGCCGGGCGCAGTGGCTCATACCTGTAATCCTAGCACTTAGGGAGGCTGGGGCAGCCAAATCGCTTGAGCCCAGGAGTTCAAGACCAGCCTGGGCAATATGGTAAAACACTGTCTCTACAAGAAAAAAAAAATTAGCTGGGCATAGTAGCGCATACCTGTAGTCCCAGCTACTAGGGAGGCTGAGGCATGAGAATTGCTTGAGCCCAGGAGGTAGAGACTGCAGTGAGCTGAAATCGTGCCACTGCACTCCAGCCTGGGTGACAGAGTGAGACGCTATCTCAAAAATACAAAAACAGAAACAAAAAAAAACCTCCCTACAAAAATAAAGAAAAAAAAAGTAAACAGTTCAAACATGCAAAGTACCTTATTAAAAAACAACCCTGTGACCCATCCATCCAGCTGAAGAAAAAAATATGTTTAAACCCCTTTCCTAACAGAAATTCTCCCTCAGAGGTAAACACTATCCTGAATTTATCACTGTCACACATTTCCTTAGGAATATTTATTTATTTCTTTATTAGGCAGAGTTTCGTTCTGTCACCCAGGCTGAGTGCAGTGGTACAATTTCAGCTCACTGCAACCTCTGCCTCCGGGGTTCAAGCAATTCTTGTGCCTCAGCCTTCCGAGTAACTGGAATTGCAGGAGTTCACCTCCATGCTCGGCTAATTTTTTGTATTTTTAGTAGAGATGGGGTTTTGCCATGTTGGCCAGGGTGGTCTCAAACTCCTGGCCTCAAGTGATCTCCCTGACTCAGCCTCCCAAGATGCTGGGATTACAGGTGTGAGCCACTGCGCCCAGCCTAGGAGAGATACTATGGGAAAAAAAAACAGTATCTAACATTGTCTTACAGGTCTTTAGACTTAATTTTTGTTTTCTTTTTTTTTTTTTTTTTGAGACGGAGTCTTGCTCTGTCCCCCAGACTGGAGTGCAGTGGCGCGATCTCAGCTCACTGCAAGCTCCGCCTCCCGGGTTTATGCCATTCTCCTGCCTCAGCCTCCCGAGTAGCTGGGACTACAGGCGCCTGCCACCTCGCCCGGCTAGTTTTTTGTATTTTTTAGTAGAGACGGGGTTTCACTGTGTTAGCCAGAATGGTCTCAATCTTCTGACCTCGTGATCTGCCCGTCTCGGCCTCCCAAAGTGCTGGGATTACAGGCTTGAGCCACTGCGCCCGGCCAATTTTTTGTTTTCTTAGAGACCAGGTCTTACTCTGTTGCCTAGTCTGGAGAACAGTGGCGCAATCATCTCACTGAAACCTCAAATCCTGGGCTCAAGCAAACAATCCGCTGGCCTCAGCATCCGTAGTAACTGGGAATATAAGCACAAGCCACTATACCTGGCTTGCTTATTTATTTATTTATTTATTTATTTATTTATTTATTTATTTATTTTTTGACGGAGTCTCGCTCTGTCGCCCAGGCTGGACTGCAGTGGTGCAGTCTTAGCTCACTGCAACTTCTGCCTCAGCCTCCCAAGTAGCTACGATTACAGGCGCCTGCCATCACGCCCGGCTAATTTTTTTGTATTTTTAGTAGAGACAGGGTTTCACCGTCTTCGCCAGCTTGGTCTTGAACTCCTGATCTCGTGATCCCCCCGCCTCAGTCTCCCAAGTGCTAGGCTTACAGGCATGAGGCACCACACCCAGCGTGCCTGGCTAATTTTTTAAGTTATTTTTGTAGAGACAGGGGTCTGTGTTGCTCAGGCTGGTCTAAAACTCCTGGCTTCGAGCAATCGAACCACCTCAGCCTTTCAATGCACTGGGATTACAAGCATGAGCCACCATGCCTGGCCTAGACTTAACAGGAATGGTATCATATCATATACATCCCTCTGTGATAGGAAGCTTTAACCATGGAAACACAGTTTGCTGTAATTCATGCATTTTCACTACTGTATAGTACTCCACTCATGAATATAGTCAAACTGATTTACCCTTCTTCTCTTTAGTGTCACTGATGGTTTTTCCATTTTTTGGATAGTATGCTTTAACATTCTGTACACATGTAGAAGGGTTTCTCTACAGTTTCTGCTGAAGAGTAAAATTACTGGTCTCTATGCTATGCACTTTGTCAACTTTGTAAGATACTATAATGTCAATTTCTTTCCCAAAGCACTTATCCCAACGTCCTCTCCCACCAGCAGCATATAAGAGTCTCTATTCTAGCCTGGGCAATATAGCAAGACCCTAATTCTACAAAAAATTTAACAATTCATCAGGCATGTTGGCATACTTGTAGTCCCATCTGTTTGGGAGAGTGAGGCAGGAGGACTGCTTGACCCCAGGAGTTTGAGGCTGCAGTGCACCATGTTCGCACCACTGCACTCCAGCCTGGGCAACCGAGCAAGATCATGTCTCCAAAAAAAAAAAAAAAAAGTATCTATTGTTCTTTATCCTCTTGGTATTACCAGACTGTTACATTTTTCTCAATTTGAAGGTGGTAAAATAGCATTTCATTACAGCATAAATTTGTATTTCCATTATTACTATAAGAGAGGTTAGATTATTTCCTCTATGTTTACTGGCCATTTAGGTACACCTTTTCATAAATTTTGCCCATTTTCTTTCTTTCCTTTTCTTTTCTCTTTTTTTTTTTTTTTTTTTTTGAGACAGTCTTTCTGTGTTCCCCAAGCTGGAGGGCAGTGGCACAATCTCCACTCACTACAACCTCTGCCTCCTGGGTTCAAGCAACTCTAACGGCCTCCCAAGTAGCTGGGACTACAGGCGTTATTAACCACCAAGCCCGGCTAATTTTTATCCTTTTTAGCAGAGATGGGGTTTCACCATGTTGGCCAGGCTGGTCTCAAACTCCCAGCCTCAAGTGATCTGCCTACCTTGGCCTCCCAAAGTGGGGATTACAGGTGTGAGCCACTGTGCCTGGCCAGTTGCTGTCTTTTTCTTTTTTTTTTTTTTGGAGGCAGAATCTCGCTCTATCTCCCAGGCTGAGTGCCGTGGCGTGATCTCGGCTCACTGCAACCTCCACCTCCCAGGTTCAAGCACTTTTCCTGCCTCAACCTCCTGAGTAGCTGGAATTACAGGCGCCTGCCACTATGCCCAGCTAATTTTTGTATTTTTAGTAGAGACAGGGTTTCGCCATGTTGGTCAGGCTGGTCTTGAACTCCTGACCTCGGGTGAACGGCCTGCCTTGGCCTCCCAAAGTGCTGGGATTACAGGCGTGAGCCACCGCGTCCAGCCCTCTTTTTCTTACTGATTTGTGAGAGATAAATAGTCTGAACACCGTCCTTCGTCAGTTGTCTGCGGGGCCTCAGGCTGATGTCAACCAGCCAGGACTTCAGCGTCCACCTCTATACTCTGAACCCATATATCCAACTGCCACTTGATCATCCCACAGGTTGCTCAAACTCAATTTGTCCATAATGGGCCTAGCATCCACCACCATCAAACCTGCTGTTCCTCCTGGACTCCACATCAGTGCTCAATCCTGAAATCTGAGCACCAGCCTTGACTGCTACCACTCTTCACTTCCTTTTCACTCCTGGTCCAACCCAATACCAAATCTTGCCAGTTCCTCCTCCTAGCCTTCCATTACCACGCTGCTACCCCCGACCCACCTCTCAAGGCTCATCTCTATCTGCTCATTCCCTTAAAAATCTCTGAGTCCTGGCCAGTCGCAGTGGCTCATGCCCGTAATCCCAGCACTTTGGGAGGCCGAGACGGGCAGATCACGAGGTCAGGAGATCGAGACCATCCTGGCTAACGTGGTGAAACCCCGTGTCTACTAAAAATACAAAAAATTAGCCGGGCGTGGTGCTGGGCGCCTGTAGCCCCAGCTACTTGGGAGGCTGAGGCAGGAGAATGGCGTGAACTCGGGAGGCGGAGCTTGCTGTGAGTTGAGATTGCACCGATGCACTCCAGCCTGGGCGACAGAGCGAGACTCCATTTAAAAAAAAAAAAAAAAAAATCTGGGTCCCGCCATTTTGACTCTCAGGTCCCATAAAGTGCCAACTCGCCACACTTTCAACCCACTGGCTTTCACATGTCCTAGGCTCCAAGTCTGGAATATTCTTCCTTCATCTCCCCCAACGACTCCTCCTGGCTGAATCCTAGTCATCCTTCAG